CGTTGGTTTATGAACGTCTTCAGATAGCCATTCCGAATAATTTGGTCGCGGAGATATGGGACCCCGAGTCCCTTTTCTTCCGAGTTACTGCAGTGCGTCTGAGTCCGTTTGAAGAGTATCTTCCCACGGCTTCTGTGGCTTCCCATGGTTTCTGTGAAAAATGGGAAGCCACAAGGGCAGCGACGCAATATACGACCCCATACAGAATGCGGAGAATAGGTCATCCTGTCTTACGGGATCGGTAAAAGTAGGGGTTATGTGGGTGGGGCTAGCGGATGAGAAAGAGAGCGGTGAAAAAGGATGAAGTTCTGGGAAAATGTTCCAATTCCGTGAATAGGTTCAAGTAGATCCATGCATGACCTTAAAAGCGACCCGGAAGACCGAATATTAGCGAAATTTAACACCAAAAAGCCGAAGGGAGCTAAATATAGCGCCTGTACAATAGGACGCCATGTTTAGATATTAAGGCAGCGAAAAAATGGAAACCCGAAGACGAATGACGTTGGCGAATCCCCTAAGAGAAAAGTGGGAACGCCAAGCCAACGGCACGACATAATAATGCAGAACAGGGGAACACAGAGAAGCCTCAAAGGTGGCCAGCAAAAGTGAAGTATACCAAATTAAGGTGTACGCCAACTGACAAATAAGCCGAATGTGATATTCAAGTGAAAATTTATGTTATCTTGAAGAAAGACGATCAGTGTATCCGAATCGAACAACACTACTTTCGTATGAATCAGTAGGCAGTAATAAGTAATATTAAATGCTGGGTCACACATTACGTCCTTTCCGCCGCATGGCGTTCGTCGCCTTCCTGTAGACCGTTGTTTCTATATCTTCGTCGAGACTTCGGTCGACGAGCACATCAAAGATGGGCAGTTGCCGTTCCCTTTCTACTTCCCTCGCGATGAATTATATGCTGGGAAGACTGAGTTGAGCGGATTATGGAAATTCCGCAGCATGTTCTTCCTGACGATGACAAACCTGTCGTCAATGGAACGGTGCCAAAAGACAAACGCCTGCCATCGCTTGTTCTCTTGGCGCTTTTATCTCTGAAGACGGACGTCTGTACGAGTTCGAAAGCTCAGACGAATAAAGAAGTGGCCCGGCGATCAAACAGTCTTCTTCTTCTTCTTCTTCTTCTTCTTCTTCTTCTTCTTCTTCTTCTTCTTCTTCTTCTTCTTCTTCTTCTTCTTCTTCTTCTTCTTCTTCTTCTTCTTCCTCTTCTTCTTCTTCTTCTTCTTCTTCTTCTTCTTCTTCTTCCCTCCTTATAGTCGCGTACACCTGGAACACGAAAATCGATCTCAATTCGCGAACCATTGAAGAGACTGCAGTCAGCAAATGTATGTTTTCGGCTACTTCTCAGTAATCTACACCATAATCTGTATAAACTCACGGCGGGATTCGGCACGTTAACTGGTGAGGCAGGGTGCCAATTTGGCAGTTATCTTGAAACCGTGACCACAAGACTGACCGAGGTGAAATGCATGAAACCTCCCCCGGTGAAAACGCAGGCTAACTTTCCAAATGCAACGTACAGACATAACTTCCCAGACTCGGCTGTCGGAAACTCACCGATCCTAGTACAATTCCCATGCCATGCGCTTTATTTTTCTAATCAATTACTAAGCAGAATAGAGGCAGAAATTAAGTTGTATAAAGTCATGAATTAAACGGAAAGTTTGGTATTCGCAACGCCGGAGGAAACCGAGTATTTCTAACTCAGGTTAGTGAATCGTTGACAAAGACATTAGAAGAAAACCGCTAAGAAGCAGACAGAGCCTGAAAGCTCATTTTGACACATTCAACTAACTCCGTCAAACGAGGAAAGTACTAGTTACCAAACCCCGCAAGGATTCTTGTCCCGTTCGAATGAGTCCCAGTGTTTACGTTTAGAAAATCGAACTAATCGTAGAAGGAGAGATGAGGTTTCGAAGACAATGGCGAAAGAGGGACCAGACTGAGGTCGCAGAAGTGTAAGCCACGACATGTCGTCAGAAACCGAAAGGCCAAAGTTTCCTTTGTGGGCAGAAGTTCGAATCTCTCGTGCCAACTGGTACAAGTCTCCGGAGACTTTATGGCTTAGTGTTAAAACGAGTCCTCCGAATGCCCTGTTCTGCCGCCGGCGTTTCTTATCTCATTTAGCCGATACTGTCATACAACGACATTTCAAAATAGTCAGTCCGTTTTCTGGTCGAATGTTGGATGATGTTGCCCATCCCCTACATTCTGATCTAGTCACCACGAAGTTCTCCCGTCCCATGCGCCATGGCTTTCGGCATATCTCTTGCCGTAAATCGACATATCAGCATTCTGTATTGTCGTTCATGGCTCGCTGTCATACATGTGAAGAGAGAGAAATACAGAAGCTAAGACTTGAACTGTCCCCATGATAGTTGTTTCTTTCCGTGCAAACCTATTTGGTTCTTGAGTAATGTGTTAGCTTATGTTCTGTCCTCAGCGAATAGTCTTTTTTGTTGAAAAATTTGAATCTATATTTCAAAATGAAGCGAAGTCCTCTCCCTGCCTCTCTCTCTGTCTCTCCCTTTCTCTCTCCCTTCACCAGTATTACCTCCACGGAAGTCACCGAATATTTATGTGAGGTGATCGTTAACAGGATTTCTTATTTGGCATACTGGTTGTAGTCCGAAAGAAGGTGCTCCTTCTTAGCATGCTAAGTGTTGAACTCAGATCTGATGACCAATTTTACCGCCAGATTGACGGCTTAACGGTGGATCACCTCTTGTACCCAGCGGACGTTTACCAAGAAAGACTAGCGAAGACCCGACTTTATTTGATTGTGGAGGTCAGTGAAATTTTCGTTATTGCGGACGTGGAGCTGAATGTGTGAAATCTCCTGAATTAAGTGAACGAGCTCATCCAGCGTTGAACTTCCCTTTAGACTGCCTTCCCCTTCTGGGCATCCTACTTTGCAGAATCCCCGAAGGAACAGTTAACGTAAGTGTTTTCTTTAAAGGTATAGAGATGGCAATATAAAAATTCCGCAGTTTTGTCCATCTACGTCAGAAACTACAGTAGATGTGCTAACTCATGAAATGGCAACCAAAATTTCGAAATGCGTTCTAGTTTCGAAAAGATAAATTAAGTAGTGTTGTAAAACTAATCATGATGCGGCATAAATACATAATGATCCAGTTATTTTCGGCTTCATGCAAGATGTATACTCTGCAAAAAAATGACTACTTAAGTAGTATGCATTTTCTCATTGATTTTCGATGCCTTTGAAAATTTAATGATATTTCATGGAAAACATGCATAAAAATATTCATTCTTTTACTTATTTGGTAGGAATTAACGTCTTCTTCCAAGTTCATACTCAAAAGAAGAGTATAATTCGGTTTTAAGAAACGTTTCTAATTCCCGAATAGTTTTGAACCCGACCTACTGTTACACTTGCATTCAGGGTTTCAAAACTACAAGCTGTATATTTTCCGTGTACGGAAGACCATGCATTTCTCTACGGTGCTAAGAGGAGACCATATGAGGTTCATAAAATGAAGCAGTGGGTTTGGGAAATATCGTTACCTTTACAAGCCACATTCGTAAATGCAGATACATGACGTTTCATGAACGGCCATCTAACAGTATTAAAAAATCTCACAATTATAAACTTTTTTAAAAACCAAATTATACTCTTCTTTTGAGTATGAAATTGAAAGACGACGTGACTTTCTACAGAATGAGTACAAGAATGAATATTATTATGCATGTTTTCCACGAAATACGATTGAATTTTCAAGGGCATCAAAAATCAATGATAAAATTGTATACTACTTAAGCAGTCATTTTTTGCAGAGTATAGATCTTGCATGCAGCCGAAAATAAGTTCTTTCGAAAGTGACACCCTGAGGTAACTGGATCATTATAGATTTATGCTGCATCATGATTAGTTTTACAAAACTACTTAATTTATCTTTTCGAAACGAGAATGCATTTCGAAATTTTGGTTGACATTTCATGAGTTAGCACATTTACTGCAAGTCTACTTCACTGCATAAATGACCTAGCCTTATGCGGCTATGCTGAAGAACGCACCTACCTTCACACGAAACACTTCATGAAACATCGACGAAACTTTGATCCCGATACATATGTATATATGTATGAAGGAGTGCATGCCAAAAAGACGTACGACGGTTAGAAGAAGCAGCTATTCGTCGCAACTCCATTTCGAGGGGGACCGGGCGGTGAATTGGAAATTCGCCTTGAAGCTTGCTATTACGCACACACACCTAAATAAGTTTTCTGAAGCACTTCCTTTCTTCGCCTCGAAAGCAAGGATAAGTTACCCTTTCAGAATGCGCATTTATGCCTTCACTTGCGTGCGCCAACACTGCTCAGCAGTGGTCGCAGGCGGGCCTCGCCGTGATTGTCGAACAAGAACATTTCAGCAAGATCAGAAATACATTACGGAAAGCAGGGTTACTAACAAAACCACAGTAACATGTTTATTGTTCATAAACTAGGCGTCATTTGAGACAAATGTGGGTACTTTGAAGAAAAAGATGGTCTCAACGGAGCGGGTTTATTTAGGTGCTGACGTTTCTAAAAGCTTGATCGGCTCCCCATCGTCAGAGAGCAAACTGTCCTTAATCGACCAGAAATTTCAAGTGGCATGTCGTGTTGGTCGGCCTCATGCTGATCGATTTCTTTCTTCTCTCGCTGCATCGGCCGCTCGGGGGATGGTTAGCGGGCGTTTTATCTGTGTGCTTTGTGAGTCACCGCTTCGTTGGAAGAGGTGATTGGAGGTGATTGAACCTTTCGTCGGGTGGTCGGTCCGGTGGTTCTTCTTCCTCGCCGAATGGACTAGCCGTCAGTCTGTTTTTGTATGGCCTTCTTAAGTTCAGGGTGGTACTTGGTCCTGGGCTCTACGGACGTGATGACGTAGGAATTTGTAAACTGCAGGAAGGTCCAGATGCCTGGCATCAGAGTACAAAGCCTCGAGTGTTAGCCGTCCTGATGTTGTGTTGTCCCGACCTAAGATGGAGATCGAAAGTATGCCCAATTTCTCAAACATGCTGAAAGTTCGGATCTAGCCACCGAGTCGCTGATTTGTGCTCTTCTAAGCAGGTCTGCAATTTCCACCCGGACTCCCCAACATAGTTGCAGTTGCCCTCATTGTAACGTATTTTGTACACAACTCCTGCGATTTCAGCAGGTGGCAGTGTTTCCTTAGGTTGCGTCCGAAGGCGTCTTAGCGTTGCCTGGGGTCGATGAGCTACGCCTACTCTGTGGGTTGCAATACGTGCCCTCAAAACGGGCCACGTGTTAGATGCGCTGGACCAACACGGGGGCCACATCGGACTCTGGCAGGCGTTATCTTTGCGTACTAACAAATGCCAACATTTGCGGGGTGCGCTGGCGGACCCTGTTGTCGGCATTCGTCGCTCAACTGGGCCACTGCCGCCACCCCATTGTTTTGTGGTCAAAATCCTGGTCATTTTTGTGTGGACCAGGGGGTGCGGAGTGGAGCGCCAAGGTGAGGATCCGTCCGAGCCATCCACCTGCGGCCTCCCCCGTCTCCGGTTTTCTTGACCCTGTCTTGACACCGGTCTCAGGCGGGGGAGGAGGAGAGAGTGTAGGTAGATGCAGCGCAAGTCTACTGGCACTATAAACCCCTGCGCAAGTCACCGTCCCTGCTCCCACAACGCAGTCTGTGGGGCACACGGTGGACATCGTCGAAATCGACGGTCGAACTGTCGGGTTGCAATAGTCGAGAGATCGCCTCGGAGACCCATTTTAACATAGGGAATGGCTCTCCAGACTTCGGATTGCTGCTTATTTGGCCATCATATGTGTGCTCGGCGCCTGCTTCTCTCGATAAAATGTCTGGGATAACCATTGGTTGCAAAAAGGTTCTGAAGGTACAGTCGTTCGGCCATTTTATTTTTCCAGCGTACTGCAGTGTTTCATCTCTTTGAAATAGAGTTTGGACACAGCTACGTTTGTGAGACAGAGGAGGATTTCTGTGGAAGTGTAGTATTTGCCTAGGATCGGTGGATTTTCTGAATACTGTGGTTTGCAGTCGTCCATTTGTGCAACGACACACAGGGATGTCAAGGATGGGCAGTTGGTTGTTTATTTCTGCTTCAATCGTGAATTAGATCTCCGGATGAACCGAGTTCAGTAGTTCTTTTAGGTGCTGAATGCCAGTTGTTTTGACAACTACAAAGGTGTCATCGACAGCGAGCCCATAACTTTGGCTGATACTTGATGAACACTAAGTGTTCTATTCGTTGAAGAACTACTTTAGCAATTACGCCTGACAGATGAAGCCCATAGGAGTGCCCTTAGTTTGTTCGTACAATTTTCCATCAAAGATGAAATAGGTCTCGAGACAGTGTTGCAGAAGCTCGAGCAGATGTTCGGGCTTCAGGGGCTTGTCCCTCTCCTCATAGCGCTCAGCCGGTAGTGGGTTCACAACGTCTATCGCTAGCTGCTGCAGAATGGAGGTGAAGTGCAAAACGACACCAAAGGATGCCATGGATTCGCCTGGCTCTAACTTCAGGTATTTTATGCGTTCAAGGAATTGGTTCGCGGATGCTACTGTTGTTGATGGCCTTCGGCCAAAACGTAAAACGACCGAGCATCCATTTTGCCTAACCGTACGTCGGAGTGCCACGAAGGGATAGGATTGGCTTGGATGGGACCTTTTTTTCAGTTTCAGTTTCAGTTTATTGAGGGAATTATAGGGGTTGAACCTCTGAATTCTTTATTTGTCACAAGAAAGCGAACTACATCAAAAATTTGAAAATGGAAACATCATACAGCTACAGAGTTTCTTCAGATGGGCAAAGTTTCCGAAACCAGACAGAAAAAAGAATTGTTCCAAGTGTTAAAAACATTAACGCTACTAACTATGCTGTACAGTAGTCTGTCTATGGATAATTGGTGCTATCACAGTTTCTGAGTGAGACGAATTGAATGCCAACACTCAGATTCAACAGACATGGAACAATAATAAAAAACAAACGTTACTGAAATACAGGCAGTACCTTCGACAGACAATAAAAACGAGTCATAGCGGAGTCAGTGGGTTTCATAGAGAACCAGTCGTTGGGCGTAATTGCCCAACGGCGAGCCCATCTTCTTCTTCTTCAAACCATCTGCCTGGATCTCTCAACCTTGCCAATTTAAGTAGACGTGGGTACTGTTGAAAAAGAGTCGCTGACAGGAATTCTTGGACAGAACTGGCTACTTTCGATGCTATTACTCATAATAACCTTCAAAAACACACTTAAGGCAACTAGTGTTTAAAATAACATCCGTCTTCCAAGTAAGAGTCTAGACAAATATGATAAGTCAGGATCTTTTGAACTTTTTCAAAAGGCTGGTAAGTTTGTTGTTGAATTTACTGGAAATTTGTTATCACTTGGCGAGTTTTTCAGGAGCACAATAATAGACAAGCTCGCCACACACGTAAAGAACCCAGTGACGTTGCCTCGATCGTGCGAATCACCAGTCACCCTAGTAATGATCCTCCGGTCCGATATGAACCGAAAAATGTGTGACCTCGCCAAGTCGGTGCAATGCTGAGACATCTCTTAGGTAAAGTATTCACATGTTGGACGTGTGGATAACCGAGTTTCGAGGTATGGTACTGAAGAACAGACCGGCCAAGTTGTTAAAACCGACAATTAGAGTTGAAATATTGACAGATCTGACGTAGTCGCCCAAGCAACCAAAGCACAAATTAGGCGCCCCAGCAATTAATGTTTACCAATCGGCGGCCTAGACGCGGATCATAACGAACGTATGATTGGCCATTTGAAAGACGTCTGCATACTTTACATAGGTTCTGATAAATGTGTTTGGATTCCTTGTACCTGGTCTACTGACAACGCCCTTTCGAGAGAATGCCCTAGTCTTTCGTGATGGCTTCGCATCCACACAGTGTATTCATTGATTCTACTTAAATCCATCAAACCTTCCTTGATGTTCTTTCAAAGATGCACTCTGATCCCATCGCAAAACCGAAGGCAGCGTATAGGATAGATACTGCGGATGTTAATCATGTTTTGCCGACAACATTCAAATCGATATCCCCGTGGGACGCTCACATAAGTCGGGCAAGAATCATGTGGACGCGTGCGCAGGTCGAGATAGCATTATGCAGCAGTCAGTTGAATGAGGAATAGACCAACAATGGACTTGCTTATATTCCGCAAGCACTCCTCGTTTGGGCAATTGTTTGGTCCCCGGAGAGTTCGTCATTCACAATGCAGCTTATGCTTTTTGTAAGCAGACGTAACATCATTTTTCATTAACCGCTCTGTAGAAATATCATTGTCTAATTTTCGTTTCTATTAGTCAACTTTTACAGTGTTCCCATTCTCTCCCACACGATATTTTACCTTTTAATGTTTGTCTTCATGCATAACCAAGCAAAGACTGCGAAAATCCCAATTAAGATATAGGGTTTATTCGGGAATACACATGATCATATATATTTTCAAATAAGCTAGACTACCCATAGAGAACATAGAGAACACAGAGAACATAGAGAACACCTAGATAACTTATTTGGAGGAAGTAAGACAAGGACCACGTGAATCTTCTACATATAGACGACGACCTTTATATAACTGCCGCCACGCCTGTACGGCAATTCACCTTGTCATGCCATGTCTACAATAGAACGCGACCATTTCTTTTTTCCTAGAATAGCTTACCGTATATGGAAACTAGCGGCTTCAATGAGCCGAATCCCCCGAAGGCTTAGGGTAAAAATTCCTGGCACCGGGCCTTTTAAATCTCCTTGCCCTAATTCTGGCTTCTTCCATGTGTGGCCTGTCTAAAACTAGCACTGTGTCAGATGCGTTACCAAAGGAGCGACCTCAGGCCCTAATCACGTTGATCGAAATGACTTGCGAAAACTTATCTTCGATAATTCTCGCAAGTGACCGGTAGCTACGAGGATGACTTTACGCTTACAGTCAATCTTCAAATCACCATAAGTTGAACTTAATGTTCTAGAGCTTACGGGAATCTTTACTCGCTTCTTAAAAATGCTATCGCCCTCGGGGTCCTTGGTCAATGTTGCGTCCTCAAAAGTTCTGTTTTAAGACGGCTACTACTTACGGAAGGCAATCTCTCTCAGGTAATACGTCTAAATTAACAGAAAATCCTCGACTAGTCGAAAATCAGCCAAGCGCATATACGAAAATACCAAGGTAATAACGAACGATCTTCATCTAAAAGAAAACTCAAAAGAAAAATTTGAAGTACTATTTGGTTGGTTAGGAATAACAATTTTCATTGGGAAAGCGGAAATGCCAAAGACGTGGAAATTTACGCCAAACGAGTAAATTAAATTTTTGGATGCACATAGATCCTGTCCATGCAATAACCCTAAAAGAAAAGACATGAAATCGATGTACTGAAGTCGTGAATTTTCGAGATAGCAACCCCTGGTGCGGAATTGGGTACCCCGCGTATGTAATCTGGCCGCTCATTGGTTGCCATTATATAGTCGCGTCGGGACATCGCATGCGTGCGTCAGCGCCCTAATCTCTTGATGACGACATGGAACGCGTGACGTGACAGCACTTTCTATCTATTGGTGTTATTGATTCACATCTGTTTACTGCTTTTACTCCAATGCCAATTATGTTCAGGAAAAAACCGGAGGGGATATAAAGACGCTGAATAAAAAGGTATGGGAACGAGACAGGTTAAGTTTGGTCATGCAGTCCCACTTGACCGATATCGTATGGTTAGCCTACTAAAACAATGAGGTTCCTCAAGTTTGAAACGGTTAAGGCTACTGACTGAATTTAAGTAGCTGGTTGATCTTCGTGATCATTTGACCCACTACTCTGATTTCTAATCAAACGCCCTTCCTTAACCTCTTAGTTTGGTGACTGGCTGTGTCGCGGGGAGAGTATGCGGGTATTTACCTTCACGGGCTTGCTTAAAGCTACCATTCAGCTTGGTATTTCGCTGCCCAGCTTTCTGATAACTGACCTACCTTTTGGAAGAAAGCGTTAGCGTTTGTAGAAACAACAGCATTAGGTTATATGCTGCAAAAAACGTAGAAGTTATTCATTTCCGCTGAAGGACCGAGCTTCGGATCAGGACAGCCATCTCGTTCGTGTGTCGTCGGTTAGGAGGAGATTCACTTAGGTTTCCGTTTATTAGCTTTGCACTTTCACTGTCCCGCTATTTAGCTCAGATGAGGGTCCTTTCTTTGACCATTGTCATTTATAGGATATACTTCCGCCAAGTGCTCCAGGAAAGTTTCCTAAACTTCCAGCAAATTGTTTGCTTTCAGGCCAAACCACAGTCGATGCCAGGCTTCATCTACGTGGGCCCACAGCTCTCTTCCTGATATCAGGCCCTTTTCGTCGAGTTTCCTCTTCAGTCTTCTCCAGTATGCCTCGATGGCATTCGTGTTTTTCCCAGTGCTCGATTCCACGAAATTGGTTGCAGGATTCACTGTTTAGTGCCGATAGTCTTCCTCCGGCAGGCGACATTACGCCTTCCACTAATTGGCTATTATTAGGCCGCCTGGGGCAACTACAGTTAGTGACCTAACTCATGAAATGTGTCGAAATTTACGAATGATTGTCAATCACTCGCAAACCGACACCATTTCATGAGTCCAATGTCTACGTTAATTAAGTACAAGTTTAAAAGAATTAAAGACATAAAAGAAATATTAAAGCAGTGTTGCGTTGGTTAGAAATGCCGATTTCTCTAGAAAAGCGCAATGTCCCGAAAACGTCAGAAATGGCTCTAATTTAGCAAACTTCGTCTTTAGATGTATAGAATGTATTCTCATACAAAAAACGTAGTAAATATGAAAGTAGAAATACGATAACGTCTAATACTAGTGGTTCAGTGAAGTTTACATCTAAAAATCATTTAATAATTAGTGTGATTTCATGTATAACGGTTTGTCAACTGCCTACATTCCGAGTGTAGATTCCAAAAGAGTTATCCAGCGTTTTTTGTGATCCTTGAGTCTTTTCAGTTAAATGAAATGAGATTCACTAAGAGAAGCTGGATTTTGCTTGATTTCACCGATGGGGACGTCGTAAGAACAAAAGTTTTCATAAGGTGACATGCCATGAGGCCAGTCGGCGTCTAATAAATTTAAATAGAACTGACAGACGTGATCGTAAACATACTATTTTGTGCTTATAAAGACAACTTTCCTTCCGTTCAATTAATTTACACTCTTCCTTCCTTACGTTGAGTTTCAGATCAGCCTCGGAATGTAGTTTCTTTATGACTGATCTCATGGCAGGCCAACTTCAATCATCAGCCTTCTCAAAGAGGGCCTTTCTTTTTTAATTGTCACACACACACACCAATAACGCAATGCTGTTTCTTCCTTCGTCCAACATTTTACTTCCGTCGGCTTATAATTTTTTCGTCCATTTGCACTTCGACTGTTGGCCTTCCTATTTTATTGGCTTCCTTTTGGGGGGTCAAATGTTATATCCTTCAACTGCGGTGGTGCGGTCTATGCCAACCGAT